CCTCGTGAAGCTTCCAAAAAAGGGGGAATCTCAGCAACTGCAGCAATTGCAGCAACTACAGAGGGATCACTCTTCTCTCAATACCAGGTAAGGTCTTCAACAAAATCATACTGGAGAGAATCAAGGCAGCAACGGACCCAAGACTACGGGATGAACAGCTGGTTTCCGGAAAAATCGCTCAACCACCGACCAGATTGCCACGCTGAGGATTATTGTGGAACAGTCCCTGGAGTGAAACTCCCAGCTGATCGTCAACTTCCTTGACTATGAGAAGGCATTTGACAGTGTAGACCGAGCAACACTATTATAGTCTATGGAAGATAATGAGACATCACGGAATCCCACTGAAGTTGGTGAACCTCATCAAGAGCATGAAACGAAGGGACAAGTTGCAGGGTTGTACATGATGGCCAGCTCACTGATAGCTTTGACATGAAGACTGGTGTGAGACAGGGATGTTTACTAGTTTACTATCACCTTTCCTCTTCATATTGGCAGTCGACTGGCTGATGAAGGAAACCACCAGAGACACTGAAATGGTGGTATACAGTGCCTGGACACCATGGACACAGTTGCACAATCTGGATTTTGCAGACGACTTGGTACTTCTTTTTTGTTTGGTTTTTCTTTTTTTTAGTAGAGGTTTTTCAGCGCTCGCAATTGCATACGGTCATATGAGCACCAAAAGAATTTAAAGAAGGATGTCAACAGAGAAGTCCTTACCGGGAATCAGGCTTACTCTGCTCACCTCTCTAGCTTCAACAGCACAAAGTCTGCTTCCACTATCAAGGCATCCCGGAAATAGCGAGTCACAAGAGTGTGACAAACATACAAAAGAAGCAGAGGAAAAAATGACGATAGTACGGATGAGGAAAGAAAAAGCAGCAGTTCCCTGTTGCAGTTCAGACACTGTTATGAGCATGACATTGATGAATCGGCCCATTTACAATTGCAGTTCTACTGTGCATAAAAACTCGAGATGTTTATGTCCCCCCCTTTGGGAATGGCCTAAAGACACTTCAGTCAGTAGCCCCGCCCCAGGGTATTGGCACTTCTGTCGCACACCCAGGAACATATGCAAGCAAAGACTTCAGTATTAAACAGCCTATCGGAGTCTGTTGGACTGAGGATCCACCCCGGAAAGTCAAAGGTCCTAAGGACAGATGCACAACGAAAGGAGCAGGTCATTATAGAAGGAAATGCACTAGAGGGACATTGAATCCTTCTGCTATCTTGGGAGTATAATTGGCAGAGAGGGAGGAACAGGTGCTTAAATAAAGTCCAGCATTGGAAAAGCACAGGCTGCTTTCATATCTTTGGATAGGATTTGGAAGACCAGAGATATCTCACTTCGAACAAAGCTGAGGATTTTGTATTCAAAAGTGAAGTCAGTCCTGTTGTATGGATGTGAGACATGGAACTTATCACAGAACTTGCAAAAAGAGGACCCAGGTTTTCTCGAACAAGTGTCTAAGAAAGTGACTAAGGATCAGATGGACAGACAGGGTCACCATCGAGAAAGTGTTAAGGAAAACAAGACAGATCCCAGTCAGAGATGAAGTTGGAAGAAGACGGTGGAGGTGGATTAGACATACTCTCAGGAAGTCAGGCAGCTGCATAACAAAGAAAGTTTTGGATTGGAATCTCTTGGTAAGAGATCAAGGGGAAGACTGCGTGAAACCTGGAGAAGAATTACAGAAATCAATGTACAGAAGAGTGCGAAGACACGAAATAACATCAAAAGGCTAGCCCAGGATAGAGAAAGGTGGAAAGTGTTTGCCCGTGGCCTATACCCTGGTGCAGGGTGAGAAAGGCAATGATGATGACGATGAATTAGATTTATCTTGCCAAATTCGGTAGCAAGGCTAAGGGGTCAATAGTGAATACGATAACCACTGTGTGGGTGGCAAGTGCGCATCAAGCGGCATGCTTGGCGCGTGTGAAAATCTGCAATTTTGGCAAAACTGGACTGAGTTTCAAATGTCAGTGAGCGATACCTGGGGCTTTCTGCATGGCAAAAACGAGATGCACGTGGAAGAATGCACCTCTGGCTACGAACTGTGCTCACTTGTCTGCCTACATAAGCCACCGTTTCATATCTGTTTTACAGTATTACCGCGCCAAGCCACATGCTACCACGACAAAAGCTCAACGACTTCAACACTACCCGGGCAATTGCCTGACTGCAGGATGGAGTTGGTGTATGCGAAGTGTCACACAGACTTCAGGTATCACACTCGCGGTGGCAGGAAGAGTCCAGGAGCGGCGTCGCAAGGGTTGTCCCAAGAAAACGACAGCTACAGATGACCGATACATCCAACACCAAGCCGTATAGCAGCGGACCAGCTCTGCCAGCGTCATCGGGCGACGTCTGCGAGCTGCCACCAATACCACAGTCTGTTCGCAGACAATACGTAATTGCCTTCATGACGTCAACCTTTGTGCTCGTTGTCCAGTCAAAAAACCTAAGCTGACCCAGAACCAGCAAGTCGACCATCAAATCTGGTGCACTGCTCACGTGCCCAGTGGACAGAGGTCCTGTTCACTGATGAATCTTGGTTCTGTCTGACATCACTCACTGAGTGATGGCCAAACCTGCGACTGGAGGAGTCCACGGGAGCAGTTTGCTGCCAATGCAGTTCAAGAAGTGGTCCTGTTTGGAGGCGGCTCCATTATGGTTTGAGGGGGAAATCAGCAGGCATCACAGGAACCCCCCTTTACCATGTCAACAGTATCCTGACAGGGCGGTATCTGCAGGAGATCCTTCGATCTCTGGTCGTCCCAGTGCTGCAGCAGATTGGGCCACCTGCTGTCCTTCTGGACAACGCCATGCCGACAGGCCCGCGGCCATCAACGCCTTCGTGCAACAGGCGAGGATTAACCGCATGGTACGGCCAGCCAATAGTCCAGACCTCAATCCTATTGAAAAGTTGTGGGCTGAGCTTGATCGGAGAGTTCGGGAGAACCACCCTTTGCCCACCAACCAACAGCAGCCTCTTGGATGGCTGCAACAAGAATAAAACAACACTCCCCAGGCCTTTCTGGCACGCCTTATCAACTCTATGCGCCAGCGGTGCCTTGACTGTCTTGCCGTGAATGGTAGGCACACATGCTTCTGACAATTTCATTTACATTAACGAACTTAAACATTAAACAGGTCATTTTCTTTGATATTTCCGAGACTTTTTGAGACTCTTTCTTTTGTGATTTTCAACTTTCAGGGGGGGTCCCTTTTGAGCGCTGGGAATTACGCATTTCGGTTTCGATTCTGATGGAATTTCTTTTTTGTACTTATGGATTGATGAATTAAATGTACATCAAAGACGGAATAATTTGCTGAACTGATTTTTATTTTGTGTGCACTTTTGCAAGTGGTCCTTAACTTTTTGTGAAGACTATTAACTTCAACTACAGGCCCAATTTACTCTTTATTGTTAAGATGTGAATGCCCATCATAAATTTTGTTCAAGACAAGAATGAATACGTTCATTCAACTCCAGGACAAGACTTTGTTGGATTCCTTGTTTGTTTATGGGTTTAACGCCCCAGTCAACACTATTTGGTTATTTTAAGAGGCAGAACCTCCGAATTAAACATCTCTCTCCACTCCCGTGGGACCGAGCCAAATGTGTTGAGAGCCTTAAAAACTCCACAAAACGACCAGGGTTCAAGAACACCCAGTCAGGTATTCGAACCAGAGACATCAACTTTAAGGTCCAGCATGATACCGAGTTAACAGAGAGCGCAGACAAGACTGATTGTAAAGAAAAAGATTTTCGTTGTGTGAAAGGAATTGACAGTACCAGAAAATTTCTGTTTTGAAAAGTGGTAATGAAAAGAACAAGAAAGGAAAGGTGAGTCCTTTCTCACTGTTTGCTGAAAATACAGTCACACACGGAGAGCTCAAATATGTCGAGGTTTGACAAATATGATCGACACATCCATAATTCAGTTTAACCGACAACAAAAAATTTTAAGATATCAGATGTAGAATAGCAAATTGTACAAGCGATCCGTTATTTTGAGTTTTCCGTGTTGGGGTTATGTGCTCCACTGTACGCTATATTATTATGTTAAACCTAGTGCCACCTTTTTCTTATCATTAATAAATTAATTGATGAAACAGCCCAAAATTCCCTCATGTTGTCTAACAAATTTAATTTGTGGGAATTTATCATGTTACGGCTAAGGGAAGTTGCAACGCAGAGAATAAGGGCGGGGGGGGGGGGGGGGGGAGTATTTGAAATCCTTTCTAGTTAGTAGGAATTTCCTGTAGCACAAAGTCTACTGCATTTGGATCTAGTGTTCACACAAGACGAGCACTCTTATACGTAGCTCAACAGCCAGCTCTTCAGATCTCACATCAGCACAAACAGAACATACAGTTGGGCACGGATAACTCAAACATGTGGATTGACAACTGTGTTTGACACATCCATAATTCAGGTTAACTGATGACGAAAAATTAAACAGACATCACTATCAATAGATGAACGGCAAATTATATGAGCCATCTGTGATTTCAAGTTTTAACAACTGTGTCCAACTGTATATGCTTGAGAATTTATGTTGTATCTTTGTGTTTATTTGAAGGGCCACCTCTATGACAAATTGATGGCCGAGTGAAAGAATCCAATAAATGCCAAATTGCACAATGGCATGTGTCAGAATCTTGCAACCAACCATCAATATGCCAACAATGCAGGGTCTGATTTTTCATTTACAGCAGATTTCTTTTGTACATTGGCTGACATTTTTTAGCATTACTCACGAACTTAAACGGATTTAGTTTTAGTTTTAGTAGAGGTTTTACGGCGCTCGCAACTGCATAAGGTCATATGAGCGCCAGAAGATTAGAGATGTTACAAACATAAAAAAGAAGGGGAGATAAGGACGACAGATGTTTGATAGGAAAGAAGGAGCAAACCACACCTGACCACCCACACGGCCACAGTTGGTACCACAACTCTATATCAAACAAAATAGGAACACAAAAATGGTTCTGAGTTTTATGATTTTTATTAGTTTTTGCTTTTTTTCTAATACATATGTCAAGACGATAAACCCAGCCCTGAAGTGACTTGCTAGCATCCCAAATGTTTTGATTGATTTTTAATTTTTAAAATGTGTCAAATACCAAATGATAGCGTGACATTTTGCCACAGACAAAAAACATCTGAAATTCCCCTTTGCAATACTGAACAAAATTTTTGACACAAAGGATTTTCATTTGAATTAGAACTTGTCTATATCTTCTGGAAACTTCAAAGAAATAAAATAGAATACGATTGCTGTACATATAGAGGCATGTAGGCTGAAGACATTTCTACATGCCAAACCAAACTACACATGTCCCTCTTGCTCACTAAAACCCCACAGCTGTTAACTGACATTCTCGTCGTGTATCGTCTCCGCCATGAACAATTTGCCCAAGCTCTGAGAGGCGAACTCGCACACCTGTTTACAGTAGTTGTTCATCTGACCAGCAACCAGGGTGCAGTCCAGCCGCTGGGGCGCAGGCTGAGGCTTGAACATCTTGTTGAGGTCTTCCTCCGGAAGGGGTGGCTCCCCACGCTGTTTTCGCTGGAGGTTCTCTTGCTCCTGGGAGAAGGGAAACAAAATTCGTCGTGAATATTCAGCGTCTGCATCAATAAAATTTTTATAAACTAGAAGGTCAGCTGTTCAGACTCCGTTTGCTATGACCAAACCAAGCAATGTGTCACACCAAGACCTGTCAACCCCATGAGGACCAAAAACAGACCCCCCCCCCCAGTATTTTGGAAGAAAAAAAATGGAGCCACTATGCTAAAATAGAGATCTGATTTGACATTTTAAAAATCTCCTGTCAACTTTTTAGACAGACAAGTCCCTAAGAAAGGAGATGAAGGGCAGCAATGGACTTGGTTTTTTTTTTCTTAGGTTAATGTTTTACAGCGCTCGAAACTGTATAAGGTCATACGAGCATGCGGGACACACCTAACATTTTCAGTTGGTAGGAAATTTTGAATTCTGCTCGGGTGACGGCCGAAGCGTACTCTTATCGATTTTGGACCACCAAGGGATCTTTAACAAGCGCAACTTGCATGTGGGACCTCCGAGAGTTATCACCCATGTCCGAGAAGGCTAGGTGTAGATCTTTCCTACCAGAACATCAGGGGTGTTGCTGAAAGACAGCTGTAAGAAGGAGCCAAGAAGAAGCAGTGGAAAGGCTGCAGAAAAAGTCCGGAGCCCAGGGGAGGGGGCAAACGAGGTGAGGGCAGAAAATGGAGACGAAAGCAGACGACAGAATATTGTTAGAGATCAGGAAAGGAAGTGAAAGGAGACAATTTTAGAGAAGAAAATTTTTCCGTTGCTACCCCGATTCGAACCTGTGACCCTTGAATGAGAGGCGAACACCTTAACCTCTAGGCCACGAGAGCCCCCTCATGGACAAAGAAACATGTGAACTAAATAGATAATGAACACTTGCACTTAAATTTGTTGACTTCTCAGTTCTGGAGTGATCCACATGAAAAAAAAAAAAATCTTGCGCAAATCGAACCATTTTGTTCAGGGGCCGTGTCAAGAAAAATAACTATTCATATAAACAAGCACTTTGGAACACCATTGTTTCTTTCTTATTGAAATAAAAAAAACACTTGTGTACAACAAACTTCTTCTACGACTGGGGGGGGGGGGTCCAGAAGGCATACTTCCCTCTTTTTTGCTTCTTTTCTTACAAACAAGATTAAGTTCATAACTGACCTCTTTCTCTTGTTCACTGTCATTTTCCGAGATCTTTCAAACACCGCAAATGCATGAGCTCAGCCACAGTCATAGCAAGGTAAACTATCGGCAAGGCCTATTGTGAAGGCCTGCACAGTGTAGTGTAGTAGATCTACGCAGGCATCGGCCAGTTGCCATCACTTCGATATTTTATCTCTAAAAGCTTAACTCATCTTTGTTTATTTTCCTTAAGTAATTGCACAAAGTAAAAATTCGCTTTGAGTATTTTAGTAAAAAGCCATTGTCATTGCATCAATGGGATCGTTTCGGTCAACAAGCTCCATGGCAGCCACCATTTTTTCTTCCTCCAATTTTAAACATATTTGTATGCCGGATAGGATACGATCTTGACAGCATTGCCCTCATTGACTAAACTAAAAGGTCTACATCTAGACCTACATATGACAAAACAATTCGATGACAATATTTTCAAAGACATTTTAAACATGTTACTATGCTTCCATACTTGAATGCAAATACACTAGAAAGGGGGAATTCTAAACCAGTCTTGATATTCAATGAACTCAGTATGAAACCTGGCAAGCATTAGTGCTATTTTTTAACCATTGGCACAACAAATTTTTGAACAGCTTTACGATTTTTTCCAAGGAAAACCTAGGAAACATTGGACCTTTAAAATCATTGTACTTTCGATTTTTTCCAAGGAAATTCTTGCCGTGCATATATAGAAGTCTTAACAGCATCGCACATTATGCGTGTGACGTGAGAATAAGCAGTGGGTGTGTGTTTCCGCGCCAAGTTAATGGGTGAGAAGGACTTTAAGGACTATTATAATATAATAATATTTGCAAGACGAATGTATCACGCAATTCAGTTAAATTACGTTAGGGAAACTTTTTTAAACTTTTGACTTTAACGGATTTCTTCCACTCTCTCCTTTTATTATTGGGTTGGGTTTTTTCTTCTTCCCAAAGCAAGAAGGGTTTAAAAATCTGAAATTTGAGAAAACCTGAAACATTTACATCCCTGTGTTTAAAATGTGTTTGTTTAACTCTAGTCTACATAAATTTCAAAATGGTGACTGGAATGCCTCATGCTGATTAGGAAAATATTGTGAGTTACTACCAGCAAATGAAAAGAATGATGCCTACATTGCGGAGGGAGGGGGGGACTAAACAATTCTACATAACTATTGTAAGCTTGAGGTCGACACACGTACAGAAACCCAACACTTACCCTCTTCATAATGAACTGCTGCTTAGCTTGCTGTTGTCGGAAGTTATTCCTCTGGAAATTCAGATACTTGTTGGTGTCCATGGCAACATCATCCACACACTCCATGAGCTGACGCATGTTCTTCTCCAACATTGAACTGACATTTAAAAAATAACACAGTAAACATCATCAAATCCTCATGGAATATTATTCACCTTAGCAAACAAATAAAGTAAAATATCCCCCCGACAAAAACCAGAAACCGTAAAATATAAATGAGTGAAAGTTCTCTCAATCCACAAGGGGACAACTGGAAGAAGGTTGTTACATAACCGCTACTACCCCTCTCTGTGCAATCTATGAGTTCATGACCTCGGAAATATGTGTTCCATACACACAGTGATGTAACGTAAGGAAGTGTACATTACTATATCTTTTTTCATTCTTCCCCTTATCTCAAGGTCTAGAGAATGTAAGTTTCAATACTTCATGTTCTCAGTCACAAGAAAACCGTCTACAACAATGATTAGGCCCAAAGGGCACCAACAGACTTTATATAAATCTCATCCTGTGAGTTTGCTGACCTCGCCAACATCAAGACTCACACAATGAGAAAACATCATGTGCATGTCTTTGACTCAGCAGAAACTGATGCACATTTCCAATCCCACTGCCCTTTACACCCCCCCTTTCTCTCTCTCTCTCTCTCTCTCTCTCTCTCTCTCTCTCTCTCTCTCTCTCTCTCTCCCCCCCCCCCCCCCTCTCCTGTTTCCAGCGTCATGCATAACGTAAAGAATAAACAAACTGCTGACTTAGGGTCTATTGAAAACACATTTCAACTTGGAGACAAAATGTTGTTATTTCTAGCCTGTCCAAGTCGAGTGGAGAATGAAAGCCGTGACATCACCATTGAACAACAGAAAAAAACAAGTCGGTCATAATTATTAAAATTTTTGTAAAAAAGAAAAAGAAAAGAGAAGAGGAGGGCATACTGTGCAAACTATTGATTTTTTAACGGAAAACTCTAGCCCCGTCCTTAATACAAGACAAACTTAACATGGATTCAAGCCCCAAGCTAGACAACAGTAGCTCCTGTCAGAGAAAGGCAGACGTCTGACTTTTGGGTGGGTGATTTCAACTTCAAAAGATGGATGGGGACACCATCTGTCTCCAGAAAAACCGTTCATATTGCTATAATTCAAAATAAACACAACTGCCATCTTTGTTTACCTTTACAGGACATTATTTTGACTTTAAATTAAAAACTTCCACCCATGCATACATGGCATGATAAACCAATAATATAAAGAGAAACCCAATTGCTTGCCTTTTAAAGTCAAAGACATTATCTTTTTCTCATGTGGTAAGTTTTACTCTTAAATCTTATTTTGCAAATATAATCCATAATTATAGAATCAATATAAATCCTGGTTTTGAAGTACAATGGTTGGATTCTTTGGTAAGCAAGGAGACGGATGATAAAAAACACAATTTCCTGGTACAAAAATGTAAAATTGCAAGCTTTAAAAATCCGATGAAATGTTTACAATTCCTATGCTTGGATTACACTTTTATGACAAACATTACGACGATAAAGACATTTCACCTAAATAATTGATTGCTTTTTCTTACCTCCCTATAACCCAAAGTAAAGTTTAGGTTGAACGTTTTAGTCGCCTTTTTTCTGGCTACAAATATTTTAACACCAAAAACAGAGATGTGTATAGATCCACAGAAAAATTTTAATAAATTACAGACCATTACTTTTCTTGGGGCGAAAGAAAAAAACTACCAAAAAACACGCGAGCTACAGTTTTACTGGCATCATACAATGACGTTGCGGATTTGAAAGTTTACGTGAAAGAACGAACAAGTGCAGATTTCCCTCCAACCCCAAGACATAGGCCTATTGCCATCTGTATCAAAGTAAAGATCTTGATTGCAGAACATCTCGAACTATTGTTCCTATGGAACTGTTTTCCACAATCAGTAAAAGCAGTGCTACAATGGGCAATATAATATAGCTGACCTGCCACTCTGAGAAATGTAAAAATCAGGGAGATCTCAGGGAGAAAAAAATCAGGATCACTGACAAATCACCAAGGTGACTGCCAAGTTGACTTAAAACTTTTCCTGGGGTGTCCATAAATACATCCATGTTTATACCTGTATAATATGCCCCCCCCCCCCCCCCCGCCTCTCTCTCTCTTTGTGTGCATGTTTGTGTGTGTTTTATCATATTCTTTTAAAATCCAGAAGTATCACACCAAGCACTCCTGGTCCAGAACTACGACAAACCTTGTTTTGAAAGTAACAGCAGAACTCTTGAATAATTATTTGTATATATTTGCAATTGAAACATTTATCAGGCCATCATCAGAGAATTCTGAGTGGGAACAAAAGCGAAAGTAGATCTTGAGAGTGTCCCGAGTCGGAGTACCAAATTGATACTACTTCAGCCCTGAAAAATAACACCCATGGATGGATGTGAATTAGATGGATACGTAGGAAAAACAATTTTAGAGAGTCTCTATTCTTTTGCAAGAGCAGCACTCATACAGCCTAAGAATAGTCTTGGTCATTATGAGATACGCCATACAGTGCTTACACTTTCCGAGTGACAGTTCTCAAGTCATGCAACCTGAAAGCTTAGTTATCATGCTCTTGCGATGTGATGTGACCCGAACTAAAACAATTGCCTTGCTATTGTAGCAATGCCCACCGAGCGCGTTTTGTTCTGCCGATTTTTGGCCCCTGTGTTTCGTGGGACGCACTAACGCAAAGGTTGTTGTCTTCAACTCGCTCTCACGCCGCTTCTCGCGAATGGATATGAATGAAACTTGGCAGCCAATCAGAAAAGAGGTCAATCTTGTTGTATGCGGTTTGACAACTTTGTACCCATCCAAGAAGTAGTCGAAAACGTTTGCGAAAGTGGTTGATGTGGTGCGCTTTGAAGATTTTTCGGAGCTGTGATTTGTCAAACTGACTGATACGTTGTACACCATTTTTCATTATTCCCTTAAAATTTCATGCTTCTGTGTTTAGCGGTTTCCGTGTAATCTTTAAAAATGTGGGAATAACTAAGGGAAAAAGCGGCATTGCCATTTGCGCGTGCTGGGTGAACGACCAGCGGCTGGGAAATTTCCACTGAGTGACGTCATCAGCCATCAGTCGCCTCTGGCGCTACAAACGAGGCCCCGCTTAAGTGAACCGGAAAGGGGGGGAAGGATACTTGAAAACTAAACGGGGGTCTTGATAACTTGCGTTTTTGTTGCATTTTAGTCACAATACAATAGATGTAGTCATTTTTAATTGCCTGATTGCATGACAGAAGAATAGAAACAGAAAAGCAAAAATCTTGAGAAGTGGCATGGCATTGTGTTTGCGTTATGAAAGCCTATTCCCCCCTCTTGGGAAAGCACACACTTGGACTCGTCCTGTGTGCTCTGGAAAAGTGAGGCATTAAGATTGTTATTAAAGAGTATGGTACTTATTTAGTCCAGTCTGGGAAGATAGTCCCGTTTATACATTGTTATCGTTCACGCGTGCGCGCGCGCGCGTACATGTGCGTGTGTGCGTGAGAGAGAGAGAGAGAGAGAGAGAGAGAGAGAGAGAGAGAGAGAGAGAAAAAGAGAGAGAGAGAGAGAGAGGGGGGGGGGGAAGGTGTAATTATGTTACATTTATTGTATGAGTTGTAGCCTACACATGTGAAATATTCCCATGACTTGTAAACTATATTATCTGAACGCATCTTAATCTACCACACAATAGAACACTGTCCAACAATGGATATACACAGAGACGATCTTATTTTCTATAACAAAGTATGCATGCGTTTACCAGTAGAGAACTGGATTTATTAGACTAATAAATCCAGCTCTCTACTTACATTTTCGTGACAGATTGATCCAGAGCATTGCTTGGCAAGGAGGAACCTTTTATGTTGCCAAGTTTTATTCAAATATGACTTTGGGAGGACATATGACTGATAATCTTTGTAAATCTGTAAAGAACGCCACTTTTTTACCTGTTAATGTCTTTACAACTCAAAAAGTATGACAGATATTACAAATCTGACAGCATGACTAGATTCTGCATTAAAAAATGCACTAGACTGCCAAGTTTCATTTACATATTCCAAGAAATAGGCGAGCTATGACAAATATTGTCTCAAAACGCACCGAAAACCGCCACATTTTTACCTATAAACGTCTTCATAACTCAAAAAGTAGGATAGCTATGAAAAATCTGAAAGCAGGACTAGATTCTGCACTAGAAAATGTACTGGGTTGCCAAGTTTCTTTTAAATACTCCGAGAAATGAGCGAGTTATGACGAATATTGTCTCAAAACTCACCAAAGAACGTCCCATATTTTGGGTTTTTTTCATTATATAAAAGTGTATCAAAAATTAATTGATAAAAAAATCTGTAACTTTTTTGTTTATTGATGGAATTAAAAAATTCAAGAAGTTCCATGCTCTGTGAAGATACAACTACAAAATGCACCTATTTACAAACACTTTCTGGCAAAAAAAAAGGGTTTTCGTGGTCATTGCTAAATTATTAGGAACTTTTGGCTAATATGTGCTGGAAGCCCTTACCTTGTGCCTAGATCAAGTGAAGAGAATTTTTGTTCTTTCCTCGTCTTTTCTGCCAGTTCACACAGGAGAGCGTTGACCAGGTGGGAGTTTCTCAGCACAATGGGGATCTCTTCAAACATGCTGTCAAAGTTAATATTGTGCTTCGTCATGTTCTCCGGGCTGAAGTCATTTTCCTTGTAGAACTTCATCATTGCCGGCGTCAGGCGGTAGGCTTTCAGTGACAGAAATCCTTGGGTGGTGCGAAGAGGGTCTGATTGTCAACCAGGGGGAAAAAAATGGCAATAAGACATTCAGTCAATTAACACCAAAGTTTCTTAAATATCAATACAACAAGTAGCCTACAAAGTTAGAAGCAAAAGTTACAAGAGGGTAAGCAGAAAACAAAGTGCAACAATTATTACAAAGCATTTATTTTTCATTGAAAAGAAAAGTGTTTACTCGAGAGTGAAAATGACACCGAAAAAAAAAACAAGAATAAAAATATTATCCAACAGCAATAACCTACACCCACACACCCCCCCCCCCCCCAAAAAACCAAAACAAACAAACCCAAACAAACAAACAAAACAAAGAAAGAAAAGAGAAAGACGAAAAAAAAGAAAGGAATGAAAAGATGACAGAAACACAACCAGCTGGATTCTGGACTTGTTTAATGAATGCGACTTGGGGAAAAATAGCAAAACGACTCAACTCGCTTTTCAACAGCAGCATTGTTACCAAAGCATTTGCACTGCCTTCAAATTCCCAGTTCAGGCTGTACGTGTCCATACAAATGACACTTTATACATAGACTAGACCTGCATGTGAGCCTCAACCAGATTGTCTGAAAATTTTGCGCAACCCCCCCCCCCCCCAAAAAAAAAGCCTTTGTGGGTGTCATAAGGAAGGACATCCGAGTAAAGAGCGACCACCCCAAAAAACACAATAAAGAAGAGACCTAACCCTAACCCCAAAAAGAACCTGCAACGGGCCTCATGTAAAAAGGCCAAAACAAGTCCTAAATGAAAAAAAAAATTTAATTAAAAAAACACACTCCAAAACAAACAAAGAGCATAGATCTAGACTCTAGATCTATATGGCTTACATCTACATTGCTATAGGCTATAGGGTTTGATACAATAACACAATAGAATTGGAAATTAATCCTCCATATATAGATCTAGTAATCTAAATAAATCTAGATTCTAGATCTTGTAGAACAAGTGAATAGGAATAGGCCTTGAACTCGAAATCCGCATCCGATTCCGAACAGAGGGACTCAGCTGAGTCTAGATTCTAGATCTAGAGAGATCTAAATAAATAAATAATTCACGCACCTGATGAATTGCTTATTTTTACCAATATTAATATTACAGCACAACCTATGATAGGGTTTGACACAATAGAATTGGAATATGAATCCTCCATTGAGGTCTATAATGATCTATATAAATCTAGATCTAGATCTAGATCTAGATATATAGATTCTAATACAACAAGAGAGTCGGACTTGATGAATGAATCCACAAGATCTGAACAATTGAATTTAGTCAACCAACAAACGAAATTCAAAATGGCGCTCGAGCACGAAACTGAAAGTAGATAATTTAGGTTGTCGTCCTTTTTCGTATTCGCATTTCTACTTAGGTTCCGACAATTATGTCGGAAACGCCGACGTCGGCACAAAAACGAAAGTGCCGACGAAGCCGACGGGAGAAAGGGGGGTCGCTGGCAGTCGGCCAGGCTTCGCACTACGCACATTGACAGATACAGGCGGGCCTAGCGATAGCATCGGCCGGTTCGCGGGTCGGGTCGCGATTGTCGGATTTCAGACGATTGTCGGCAAACATGCAGGTCTAATAGACCTGCATGTAAGCCTCAACCAGATTGTCTGAAAATTTTGCGCACAATCCATTCCCCCCATTAGAGCTTTTGTGGGTGTCATAAAATAGCAGCAGTTGTAGGTTCATGATGGGGGGCATCGGCCCCTAAAGAACCTGCAATGGTCCTTCAGATTTTATGTAAAAAAGCCAGCAAGTCCAAAATGAAAAAAAACCCAAACCCCACCCTTAAACAAACAAGGAGCATAATGGCCTACAATGCTATAATAGGATTTGATACAATAACACAAAACAATTGGAACATATGAATCCTCCATATACTGTGATCTAGATAAATCTAGATCTAGTAGAACAAACAAGTGAATAGGAATGGGCCTTGAACTTCAACAAAATCTGCATCCGAACAGAGGGACTCAGCTGAGTCTAATCATTTATACACCTGATGAAATGTACTTGTACCAACATTAACTCACTTCAGACGGGTCACACAACAGTTGCGTGACCCCCGCCGCGACGCTCGCGACGGGTCTCACAAGCCCTGCGTGACCAACTTTGGAATTTTTTTTTCGCTCTACAAATCACGCACGGATCGCGAGACCCGCCTCGTACCCTTGTTTGGCCAAGCCTGAGCTACTTAGACTTCATTTCGTATCTCTGGGACCCATAGTTTTTAAGTTATTGAAGGTGAAGGACAGTGACCCCAACTGGGGTTGAACAGACCAGAACTCGCGCTTTGTTTTTTTCTATACAGCTGATAGTAATCCGACAGTCGCGTCGTAGTAACGGTCGAAGAAGTCGCATGAACAAGAATCACATAATTTCCCCGTTTTCTATACTTCTGTGCGTTTTACTAGTTCTAGTGTCTCAGAATATGATGGGTCTAATTGTTAGGATCCTGGATATGTACCCGAACACAGCCCGAGTCGTAGTTCTAGGGCTAGATCTAGCACTAGTACCGGTGTTGTTTTTCCCGCAACGAAATCACAATGTCGTGCCGTACATCTGTCTCATGTAATTCAGTGTATGGGTCTGAATCAATGCACAGACCAGCTTTATATTTTCACCAAACACTCGCACATGTATACAAATCAAACCAGAACACTTTGAACTTTTATTTTTGTTGTTGCAGTGAATTTCATTCTACTTGTCACGTCTCTGGAAATGTTTCGGAAAATCAAATTCATGCCAATTTTTAAAAAATCATACAAATTAAAGTATTAGACTTAGACAACTTTAGTTTTTTGTATTAGATAAAGCTTGAACTTTATTGTGTCAAAAAATGATTACAATAGGGTAATTCTGAGAGTTGTGGTGATTTATTGAAATACCCCCAAAAACGCCAGTCTTCAACGCTTGTGACTGGTGAAAGGGCCCAGTCGCAATTGAGTTAACATTACAGCACAACCTGTAATAGGGTTCGACACAATCCTCCATATAGTATATAGTCATCTATACAAATATAGATCAAGTAGAACAAATGAGTAGGCCTTGAATGAAATCCACATCCGAACAATCGGTCACCAAACGAAATTCAAAATGGTTGCTAGAGCACGAAACTGAAAGTAGATCTAATTTACGTTGTCGTCCTTTTTCGTATTTGTGTTTCTAGCCAGGTTCGACAATTATGTCGGAAACGCCGATGTCGGCACAAAATGAAAGTGCAGACAAAGCTGACCGGAGAAAAATGGGGCGCTGGCGATTGGTCAGACCTAGCACATTGACTAGGCCTTATACAGGTGGGTCTAGCAATAGCATCCGCCAGGTTGCGGGTTGGGTCACGAATGTCTGATTACAGGCGTTTGTCGGCAAATTTGCAGGTCTATATACATATTTTGCTCATTTCATTCAAGTGGAAGTGGAATGGATATCCTGCTGTGGCAGAGAAAGTTCTTGTCAGTTAAGTGGTAGCTTGCACTGATGCTTCCCAGGAAGCAAAAAGAGATATGAGCCAATTAAATACAATTTTGTAATGGAATCCTTCAACCAGAGGTGACCCTTTTAACATGTCTTATTTGGTCCTACCAAAAGTACAACACAAAAACACAAATTTCTCACCGTAAATAAGCACAACAGACTCTTCAATGGAGTGCTGATAATTGAACTGTGAGTCCAACAGAGCTCTATTGATAAAAGAACCAAAATATGTACTTTGGTACCAGCCTACATGGAGATGGTCAACATTCACATGCCGCAAGTTTCTCATCATTTCCATCTGGTACTGCACAGAAACTGAAAATGGAAAAAAAAATGGGGAGGGGGAAGCAATATAATTATTTTGTAAACTATATGAGAATGGTAAGATGATAACAAGGAAATTTCGCAGGATAACCCAAAACACAGGGTGTCTCTCGCTAGGCGCACCATGGGGAAAATACACTAGGCCTATACAATGGCACCAAAGTGCGCAGATATTGAACTGCTCAACAAAGTCAGACCAACACACATTGAGGACGTCAAAATGTTGTCAACACAAGAAAAGGTCGAAATTGTAATTTTGGTAAGCAATTTAAGCCAACGAGATGCTGAAGATGAATTCAATCGTCGGCACACGACACCCAGACAAGCTGCCCATCTCCCACACCACGGTAGGGACAAAATGCCAAACGAACAAACACTGATCCATTGCCTGATAACTTACAGGCTGACATTTTGGCATGATTTTAGACCAGCTCAACCAGTTCACTACGCCGCCAGATAGCTCGAGAGGTGGACACAAGTAAGATACCATCCATTGCCAGCTACTTAGAATCATTTCTATCCATACAAATTTCAACCTGTCCAGAGACTCCGCGAGGATGATTCGACCCAGCGTATGGCGTTTTGCGAAAGGGCTTTGTCTAAGTTTGATGAGAATGCAGACTTTGGCAAATCAATTCTCCTTTCCGATGAATCCATTTTCTACGTCACTTGTGATCGTAATCGTCAGAACAACCGATTCTGGTCACATCAAAAGAGCATTCTTCATCAATTTCTAAACCAGTGAATGGTTAAAATATCTTCTAAGCAACAAAAGACGGAAATTTAAATTTACACAAATCTTCATGCTACCTTCACCAGGACCCACATGAAAGGGTCATAATATATTGAAATTAAAATATTATATATATTGTGCATCACCTGGACATTTTTGTTTTTATCTTACTAAATCTGTATCAATACAGAAAATTATGACTGTGAAAACAGTTGTGACAGCAAAAAAATTTTAAAGGCTGCCTTCATTGCTAACTGTACATCAAACAACCCTTTACCTTCAGTTGTTGTTTTTTTAAATTGTGTATCATTTGAATGCCATGTTGTCATCCCAAAATATCAAAATAACATACAAGGAACAACAATGATAAGGGGTCAACTAAAAAAAGCATGGGCCTCAACCTAGCCATGCCCCAACCTGTTACAGGTCAAGGGAAGAAAAATAGTCAATTTCAGAAACTGGAAACATGAAATGTAAAGGACAGTACCATTTAACTCCAATCAAGCAATGAATTTTAAAAAAGAGCTTATACTGCAGCTTTGAAAACAATTCTAACATCATAATTAGTTCAATTCTAGGTGATCGAAACGCATGCACCACATAAATTTCTGTTTCTGAATCAATATTACCCCAACACTGGTTCCCATCTACCATACAATTACAAGGTGGATCATGAAGCACCTTTCCCAAATTCACACCACCAACCTGTTTCAAAGTCCTCATCCTCGCTGTGCTTGGGAAATGGAAAGCAGTTGGTAATCTCCAATCTGTTATCAACTACCAAACCAAGCAGAACACCTTGAACTAAATCTGTGCCCCCAGCTCCCTCTTCTTGGCTGTGCTTGATCAGTTTCAGCACCACCTGATAAAAAGATATGTAGAGATGATGTCAGTCAAGTCCTGGAAAATAAAACATCACATTACCCCTTTGAATGCTAATTTTCTCCAGATGAGAATGTATCCCAGGTCAGGTCCTGTGAATTTGCACCGAGTGCTTTATTCTATTACAGTGGAACTCAGATTCAACAAAGATGTCGGGCCTGGCCTTCAATTTAGTTGAAACAGAGTGTTCGTTTTATAGCAAACACGAGGTTTTTGTAAGGTAATTGCAGACACCGAGCAAGTAATGTATAATATATTCGACTTTCTCAATCAAAAGTAGTTTGGTTTCAAATGAGAGGCATTTTCGTGATGGTAGCGTCAATTGTCACCGAGTTACGCGGTGGCAATTGACAATAATTAACAGCAACGTCAATTGCCACCGAGTGAAGCGGTTGCAAGTCTGAAAACAACACTATCTTTAGCTTTCCATTTATAATGTGTGTCTAATGAATGGGTCAATTTGTTCTCTACTAGGGATCTAATTTCATTGGATGAGCATCTAGTCTAGAGCTGCGGTACCAACTTGGCGTGTTCTCAATGAGACGTAGGCCTAGATTAGATCTAGATCTAGGCTAGCCTTAGCCTACACTTAGAACCAACAAAGGAAATTCCAGAAGTAGAAGGTCACAAACGCACACAAGCACACAAACTCAAGCAGAAATTCATTTTATATCGGGGAACATAAATCAGGGGGACGGGGGTCAGGAAAAGACAGACACACACACACACACACGGACAGAGGCGAACGCACAACACCGAGCACTCGAGCACAATAGGCTAGACCAACTCACCAACGCAATCTTGAGCTCCAATTTACTCGGTGGCAATTGACGCTGCTGTTCATTTTTGTCAATTGCCACTGCGTCACTCGGTGGCAATTGACACTACCTTTCGTGATACCAAAGAATTGCTGAAAAATTCCAGGGGAAGAGGCTAGCCGTACTTAATGGCGGCTAGACTGGCAGTACTTAAGTACGGCTAGACAGCTGGGCTAGCCGTACTTATTCTTAATATGATGGCTAGACTGACCATTAAATAAAATAGGCCTACTGAATTGTAAATATAAATTTTTAGTTTGCAGTACCTAAAGTATTTGTATTTGAGACTAAACCAGGTGCCTTAATGACAGTGCGTGTATTTTAAACCTCCTGTTTTCTAATGTTAATAGAGGGCCTAAGATAAATACGGCTAGACTGCCAGTACGGCTAGACTTCTTGGCTAGCCGTACTTAAGTACGGGTAGACAGCCAGGCTAGCCGTACTTAAGGACGGCTAGACTGTCAGGCTAGCCGTACTTAATATTGATGGCTGATTTGTAAATGAAATTTTTTGTTTGCAATGCCTAAAGTATTTGTATTTAGACAAAACTAAAAGGTGCCTTACTGACTTGCATGTATTTGAACCTGAATAATTACTAGATCTAGATCTAATGAGACCTGTGTACTTAAGAGGTTTGAGTCGATAGGGCCAAACCTAGATCTAAGTACGGCTAGACTCTCAGGCTAGCCATACTTAATTACGGCTAGCCACTTCGAATTCCAGGAAAATGCACTGAACTCTACAAAGCATACACTGTGCAAAGGAGCCGATTTGTTCAACTTCAAATGCACGCCGACGCGTGTGTCATCTATTACCTATAACGTATTGTTTGCCAAACGAGTTATGTTGCTGGGTAGAGCCTAGCATATGGCAACGTTTTGATTCCACAGGTCAGTGTGCAATTCATTACGTCTATGTCAAGACAAAATGGCCCCCCTGAAACCCCCCGCCTTATTTTTATTAGGTAAGGGGGGCAAGCCCCCCTGAAATCCCCCTACTCTTGGGGCCAAAACTCGTGAATAACAATCGCGGGGTGGGAACTACCGAAAAAGCGCCAGGTTAGGGTTAGCCTCTTTCAACTAAAAACCCTCCACTCTCCACGCCCCGTTCACACCTTATACACACATAAACACACAACATGCACACTCACACACACACAGGCCACTACATTCACAATTATCATCAACAAATCTTGAGAACAATTACCCTAGATTCTAGAATCTAGATCTAGATTAGATCTATTTGTACTGACTGTTCTGCCGTCGTAAGGGAAAACGATGAATGGTCAAAATATTTCGATTAAAATTTTTTTTTTTACATATTTCATAGAATATTTAATTCTGCATCTGATGGTGTAAATTTTTTTGTCATATCCTAATCCGTTGTTGCATAATTGAGAGTTCGTCGTTTTTCCCTTACACTGGCGAGCTCCGAGCCAGAGCTCAGTGTAAGGGAGAACGACGAATGGTCGATCGGTCAAGGATCACTGCTCATTCTGTGTTGTCCCCTGGTCTCTGCCGTTGGGCAAATTCTGCATGGGCGACGAATGACAATTGGTCACTGTTGCGTCAGTACAAACATACTAGGTTTTTTTGCAACGGAGTGTCTTCGTACATGGTAACCGGGCACGTAGCCTCAGGGTCTACGTACACGGTAACCGGGCACGTAGCCTCAGGGTCTACGTACACGGTAACTGGCAACCGGGCGTGAAGTCTCACTCAATGTCACATACACGGTAACCGAGTGAGTAGCCTCAATATCTACGTACACGGTAACCGGCAACCTCTCATTATCTAAGAACACGGTAACCGGGTATTTAGTTTCGTGGGGTGTGTGTGTGTGTGTGTGTGTGTGTGTGTGTGTGTGTGTGTGTGTGTGGAGCTTGAGCTAGGTGCACAGTAACTGCTTTGCTCCCTTCAAGACCTTGACCTTTTCCCTTTTTTTTTCTTTTTCACTCCGCTTTTTGGGGTTGTGAGTGGGCGGAATGTGATCCCAATCTACCCCCTGTCATCTTTCCTTAGGGAGAGCAAAATGCAGTGACACTGAAAACCTACGAATCTGGAACAGAAAGCTAAAATATTGATGTTTACAAAACATGTAATAATATCACAAGAGGGAGAGAACGAGACTCTTAATTGTTCGGCATGCTAGATTGAATTAACTTATCTTTTACGGTTGGCATGGTCTAAAGTCATCATAAAAAGCTTTGCAATTATTTAGTCACGATGCCAACATATATTCTTAAAGATCCAAAGTTGTGATACCATGCTATAAATAAAATGGACTCATCCCGACACCCCTTTTCCGCAAAATCGTAATATATACACCAAAATTCTAATTATATTTTAAAAAATAACTACGAAATGGGTAGTAAATCTGACTGCACTGATTTCTACACCTAAAAACACATTGGGTAGCCAAGTTTCTAACACTCCGATTAGTTACCGAGATATCGTCGATTTTCTTACAGAATCTGCTACTGCGTGGTCCACTTTTTAGGAGTATTTTCCTATGGGTCATCCATATTTTGCCGACCTTTACAACCCCATAACTTTTTTAAATTTATGAACCGATTCTTAAAATTCAAGAAGCATAATTCTTAGAATTGAAAATTCTTTCTTAGAGGTACCAAATAAACAAGGACGGCACTATTTCTCCGAACGTTCGGGAAAATAAAGCTGGGCACTATTTCTCCGAACACTCTGAAATCACACCCTTTCCCGCATATTTCGGATAATAAAAATAAAATATAGATCTATAATTATATTATAGGACTACCAAAGATTGTTCGTATACAATATGGTTCAATCAGTCCAAAAAATGTCCGTATTTATATAAAGAAATGCTACAGTTCCAAACAGTTTTTCGCTACAGATATGACGTGTGGCCTATGAAGGGTGCTGCTCTTAAACTTAATGTGTTGCGTTCACTCGTGAGCTGTCTAGATCTAGATCTATGGAGGGTTATTGATAACGACACATAGAGCTAGCATCTGCGTTTGTCGAGGCCGCGACCAATCAATCGTGGCTCGATTTTTCGGTCCCCGAAAAAGTCCAAAAAAAAAAAAAGAAAATGAACCTCTTTACTTTTGAAAGAAAGTTCACTTAGCTTCACTTCGTCTCTTTCTCACTTGTTGTCACCACGTTGATTTGTTGAATACGTTACAGTTACATACGATTTGTATTGCTGTTTCTCTTTTATTTTTCGTTTATTTTTCCCTCTTTGTGGTGTTATATTTTGTTGGTGTGTATTTTTTTTTCTTGATGTGTTGTTTTTCTATTAATTTTTGTTGTTGCTGAAAATGGGGGGGTGGTTGTATAGTGTAACGTCATTTAATTTGATGTTCCTACAAAAGGTATTGTGTAACGTCATGTAATTTGATGTTTATACCTTCATTAGATTCTAAATATATATACCTGTATAGATTTAAATGTGCTATGTTAGAGCCTTCCACCAAAACCAATGACATGTACTGACACTGGCAGGCCCCCTGTGTGTGATTCCATAATATCCATGCAATATCCTGTACTTTTTTTTTTACAAATTACGCACATTATATATAGCAAACACCTAACTTTATACGTAAAATAGCTAGTTTGTAGTATACGTCTTATTTTTATTTGTAGTAACCAGTACACAGTCATGACTACTGTCAATAATGCGTCACAACTGACCATCACCTACGCCCATAAACGTTCACGAGTGTTAAGGAGAACGACGAACCGTACCATTCGTCATTTTCCCTTACACCACAAGGCTCACCTGCGGGTGCCCAGTGTAAGGGAGAACGACGAATGTCGAATAACTTTGCTACTTTGTCTACGTACACGGTAGCCGGGCACCTAGTCTCAGTATCTACGTACACGGTAACCAGGCACCTAGTCTCAGCATCTACGTACACGGTAACCGGGAACCTAGTCTCAGTATCTACCTACACAGTAACCAGAATGAAAATAAATCAATATTTGTCCTGTGCTGTCACTTGCTGAAAAAAAAGAAAGTTATAACAAGCGTCTTGTCGGGCTCGCCATCGTGACCAGTCAGTGAACCTGTTCGGGCGCATCACATTGTGAGTACCGGTTGGGAGTCACCAAAGTTCATTCAAAGTCTGTGAGCTGCGAAGTATCTAACGGCTCCAGAATGGGGGGGATTATTTATTTTTTTATTGGGAGGGGTGGGGATGAAAGACATGCCGTTAAACGTAGAAAAGACGCATCTTTCTGATTGGCTGCTAATTTTAGTACTGTGATGTCATCACTCCCTGGGATACCCACATGGAACTGGAACGACGTGTTACATTTCGGATTTCCTAGATCTAGATATATTAGATCTAGAAATCTAGATTCTATATATAGATAGTAGATTTCTCTAGGCCTACTTGGACATGATGGAAGACCGCACGAAAATTGCCGTAAAGACGCAGGAGGATTAGATCTAGATCTAGATATCTAAATATAGATCTACCATCCCCCCCCCCCCTGCATTTTTAATCACTAATATATATATTTTAAAAAAAACAAAACCCAACAACTTCAAAGCAGCTCTACAAATTAGGCCTATAATTTATGGGACTGTTGGTCAGTCGGGAGGAGGAGAAGAGAAAAAAAAACAACTGTCCTGGACCGGGATCGAACTGCTCCAAAAATCAGTGCACGACTTCCGACGCAGACGCGCTGTCTATTCAGCCATCAGAACTTCCGAGAGAACAGTGTAGATTAAGCACCATATACATAGACACTTCCATCTTTGGTGCCATGCAGTTGGCTATACTTAGATGTAGTCACGTGATCGGAGGGGTATCCTGGTCTGACAAGATGGGCGCCTTCTAAAAATAGTTTGCGTCCTTTCTACGTTTTAATCGCATGTGGATGAAGGCAACTGTAGCCTACTAAAAGCGTACAATTTTGTCTGTGGGCAGTGGAGAGAGAGAGAGAGTAGCGCGAGAACTTCCGGGCAAAACAAAACGGCGACCCGCGTAGTTCGGCTCGATTCGAAAAGTTAAATAGCCGAAGCATCTTTGTAGACAACCAAATTAATTTACTTTTGTGTTTTAACATCAGTTTTTAACTTTCTTTTGGTCAATTTGATCGTCCACACCGATAGACATTATTCAGAAAGAGACAGAGAGAGAGAAGAGGGGAGGAGTTGATCTTGCGAGAACTTCCGGGCGGGTGAGAATAGCTGAATAGCCACTTTCTTCAACTATTCTCACCCCGGATGAGAATAGAGGTGGCCTACTGAAATACTCCAACGCTTGTGACTGGTGAAAGGGCCCAGTAGTAAGTGAGTTAAAAGAGTGAAAAATAGAACAGTTATAAAGTGAAAACATTTTTTGCCTCTCCTGAAAAATTTGCCTCGCAACCTGCGCAGGACCATTCGTCGTTTTCCCTTACGACGGCAGTGTTGGTGGACAGCGACAGGGAGGACTTCCGTAACGAGCGACCACTATGAGACAGAGCAGATTTGAGGGCTAGGGGTAGGGTTAGGGTTAGGGTTAGGGGTAGGGTTAGGCCTCTTCTTTATTGTGTTTGATGGGGTGGTCGCTCGTTACGGAGGAAGTCCTTCCCAGTGATAGGACAGTCGGCATCATCAACATTGACATATGCCATGATCATGATAATTGATATGGTGGGAAATCATATTGTGCTGACGATTTCCTTACACAATATCTTTTGCCAAATAAAAAATAATAAGCCGCTTCACTACAATCCATGACATTACAATCTAATAAAGAAAAATATCGTACCAAACCATCAATTTGCACAATTTGGACCATCGAGTCCATCCCACGTTTCGACGCCATTTTTATTTTTCTGAATGAACGACAAAAGTAGGCTTGGCCCGGAAGTGATTCTATTTTAGGTGGGCTGATACAAATTTAGGCCTACAGCACAAACATAACGGTCCAATATAAATGTGTCAGATTTTTCAATATCTTGGCCTTTCAAGTTACTTTCAACTAGAGATCTAGATTTTCTAGATCTAGATCTAGAATTATTATACCGAGTTTTTTCTTTCCCTTATTTTATAAATTGATAAATGAATGAGTGAATGAATAAGTAAAGAGATAATGAATGAGTAGTAAATGAAAAAGTAAATTATAAAAAAACAGTTCAGCCTACTGTACAATAAATTGACGAAGGAAAGAAGGCAGAGCCTGTCTATTTTAACTATTAGGCTAACTGCTTTACTTCCCCGCATCGCAACCAGCGCTGGCAGTGCGGACGACTTAACCAAAGACCGTGTATACCAAGATATTGCACTTCCTCTTTGGGCTTTTGTCCGCGCCGTGGAAGGCTCGTTTTGCCGCGTAGCGCGTGATGTCACAAGGCGACGCGAGGTTGGTTTCTTCGCCGACTCCTTGGGAGTGAGTGCGTGCGTGCGTGCGTGTGTGTGTGTGTGTGTGTGTGTGTGTGTGTGTGTGTGTGTGTGTGTGTGTGTGCGTGCGTGTGCGCGCGCGTGTGTGTGTGTGAAGAGGAGGTACAGAATGGTACAGGCTAAATCTATGGAACGAGAATTGCTGAGATTATCCAATTAAAGATAACAAAAATTAACACACAAATAAAAACAAAAACAAAAACAACGAAAAGATAAAAATAAAAAAAAGGAAAAAGTGTTGGGGTGAGTAGGGGGATGAGAAGGAAGTAAAGAAAACTGAAAATCAATAAAGAAAAAAGAAGAAAATTATTTAATGGTTTTAAGCAGCATGCAAGATGTTCACCGATCGAACTCATGTTGTTTGCTGTCCAGTCATTTCATATCGTAACGATGGTTATAGTGTCGTAGTCGTAATTAGTCTAGCTCCTTGTCCCTGGTCGACATCATATTAATTACAGAATTACCAGACAATTAATGATATTACGTGTTATGAGAGTACATTTTTTTTATCTAAGAATCCTAAGAAGTGAATGTATTGTGGCAACACAATGCAGTCTTTCTTTACAATTTCTTATTACGACTTGATGTTGCGATCGTTTATAACAACGTCTTGCAGATTAAAACTGTCCTTGTCTCTTCTTAATGATATCAAACAACAACTAGTTGTTTCCCCATCATCTGGGTCCTTGAAATACGATCGAGAGGGAGCGTTTTCGACTTTTTGATATACATGTATTAGTCTTGTCAGATTATTACATTTCTTTAATGAAAGTTTGATTCTGACTGCAATTCTCTAACCAAAATGACATCATAGTAATATTATGGATCCCTGTAGCCGTGCTGGATGAATTGTAAGTTAGGGAAAGTAAAAATAAACTCGCTTCCGAAGAGGATACATCAAAGAAATCTCGTGTAGACCAAACCTTGATTCCGAATCAAACAGTATTAAATAAAACTATTGAAAACTTGTGCTAGAACAACACATCTGATTTGGACATTGGCAACAGTGATGTATAAAAATTATCTTTTTCTTCATGATCTTTAGTAGGTGCATATCATTATATTATTGTGATTATTGAAATGTCTTATTAGGAATCTTGATCTTAATAATCCATGGTCCATTCCCATTCAATAAGGACTTTGTGTGCTGTGTCAATTAATAAGATACCTACTCCGTGTTGTCCGCTCTTATAATATTATGTATCCTGAATATACTAATGTTTTAATTTCTTTTCTTAGATATATTTCCCTTGATCTGGCCAGCGTGTTTCACTCAGATCGTAATCTGGGCCAGTTGTGTGGAGCATGGTTCAGAGACCACTTTTTAGATGTTATTTGTTTTGAGAAGGGAGCTCCTCAGGCTGTTAACCTTCATAATACACTAACATTCGTTGTGTCATCGAAGCTGCTCCCCAGCTCCAACATATTTACAATGTTGCGTCGTCTGCTTTCGGTATCAGTGACAAGTAAAGTTTCATGAGACGGGTTGTTAGCCCATCGTCAACCCCCAGAGGAATATTGCCATAGGTTTTCGTGGCTCCTGGAGGGGGACAAGGCACGGGCGTCTAGTGGCCATTTGGGATGAAATATCCTCTCATCTGCTCCTTGCTGTTGGAGAATTACATTTCTCATCCACCTAGTAGCCAGTCGTCCTCCCCATTTGACTGATGGCTTAGAATAAAAGGTTATTTGTGCCCTCGGTTCGCCCGATGACTTCGCTGGGCATGCTGATGTATGTAATAAGAGTAGCAGAACCACCAATATCTTTCCACGTCGCCCAACAACGTTGACCCCGCCCACCTCGCCCTCTGTAGTTATCTCCTGTTGGTCCGTCGCAGCTTACTCCCGTATTAGATAATAATAATAATAATAAT